TTGGCAGAGATAAAGTGCAGGACCAAAATAATTCCGTATGTGGTGTCAAGCTACGAGAAGGACATCAGTATAGCTGATCACGTCGAGGCATATATTGAGTCGGTATGTTAAAGAAAACGCTCGGAAGCATCTCATTTTATAATCGATATGGATTCACGAAAAGGAAGCGAAAAAGATCAAGACAATACAGCCAGTTTACCTTAATACGATCCGGAGCCAAAATCAGTAGAGAGAAAAAGAAGGCTAACGTGCACATTTTATTTTCTTTATATATCACTCCATCAACTACTGATGTTTTACATTTTAATGAAATAAAAATGGAAAACAAAGAAAAAACTTAACCTTACATAATTCAAATGAATTGAAAAATTCATTTGACGGCACATCCATCACTATTTGGCTTATCAATCGGTTTAAGGCGTTGAATCCATTTTCACCAACCAATCAAATGAGAAATCCATCTATACAAATTTATGAAGAAGTGAATGATAATAGATAAACTTTCTTTTGAGGAACACAGCGCAAAATGTTCTTTCACGGTGAATCTACTAAACAAAATTAAACGAATTTACCTGGTAACTTGATTTTTCAAACAGAGAGCGAAACAGACACTTCAGATGCTCATAGTTGGGTTCTTCATCAAATTCTAAGCCACGACAGTAATTAAGAAAAATAGTAAATTCATCTGGGAGACCACTACAAAGGGTCTGAAAAAAAAACTACATGAGACTTTATTCTACCACATACCGTATTATCAATATCAAAAATATATTTTGAAATTCTTTACTTGAGAAGGATGTTTGATCATATTTATAAGTTATCAAATTCACAACAATTTAGATGGTACATAACGGAATCTCCAGTTTTTCATTAATCACAAGTTATCCAGTTTCTGATTTATAGCTGTCGAATATGAAGACAATTTAAAAGAGCTCTAAACTAGCACTGATTATTACAATCAGCATGTTACCTCAACAGTTATACTAAGCTTGATCTCGAGTACTTTATCATACTTTTGTTTTTTGGTAGTTGCAGAATGTCCTTGCCAAGGTAAAGCACCTCTTAAAAATTTGAAAAGATGAATGAATCAAAAAATTTCTAAGCGTTAATGAACGTTAACAAGATGAAATAGGACGAAATTTCTCATTAAAATAGTATAGGCGAATTATTTTCTTCTTTAGAATATTCTACCTCAGAAAGTACAAAAACATATAAGCTAGAGATTCCAAGTCATCCCTTCGCGAAATTTCAAAGCCCCTATTTGAATTGATAGAAGCGAAACGTGCCGTTCCAGTAAGATTCTATAACGAAGACGCTTCAATTTAATTACGGAAAGTCAGGAAATTTTTGAGATCAAATAATTTTCGAAATGACAACCTTATCTGTACGAAATTGGATGTGTTCCGAAGTGTCGGATTTGCGATATCTCTTTGATAATCCGAAATCAATCAGATACACTTTATGACTCTCTTGTTTAGTACCCATTAAAAAATTGCACGGCTAAAAAGTAGGAGCACAGCAGTAGTTTTACAAGAACACCATATTTAAAAAATCAGCATAAATATATTCCATTTTATAATAAAGATTATGAGACACATCAAATAAATGCATTCTATTCACTAACATGTTAAAGAAAACGTTCGAATAATTTTCATATAAATAAGCATTTAACCATGGTAAATGTAGGTTAAAATTTTTACCAAAACTCAGCGAAGAAATTAAAAAACTTACTGCGATTATACAATCAGATTTTATGATCACTAAATAAAACAACGAATATTCAAAATACTTCAGCCCACTGCAATCTTTTATCTAGAAATCGAAAAAATAAAAATAAACCTTCAGATCTCTGTGCAGGTAATTCTTATTGTGCACATACTCAACAAGTGGTAACATTTGACTGGCGAGCATCAAAACAGTCTTAAGCGAGAATTTGCAATCACAGAAACTGAAGCATTGTTCAAGATTGGGCCCCAATAAATCCATTATCAGGAATGAGTAACCAAATTCCACACCAAACCTTCATAATAACATTAAAAAATATCCAACACCAAAGTTTTGCTGTAATTTTCAACATTGCAATACAACGGTCATAAATTAAAAACTGACTCAAGTACTAAAAGACGATATGATATGTCTTTAACCAATTACAACAAATGGAAAAATTTGATGAGGATTAAGTTGCAAAATTTTAAGTATTACAGAGATTTATTAACCGTATACCGAAAATCTTTCAGCCAAAAAGTTTTGCAATGCTTTGTCTTAACAAACCCACAAATGACAGATTTTCAATTTTTTTCATTCACAAGTTTAAAGAGAAAGAGAAAGAAAATGGCTATATCAAACTAGACTTAAAAATATTTATGGCGCGAAAATATATTCCATATTTTATGATATAGCATTTGTTGCTTACCATCGTAACCGAGGAATACCATAACCCCCTTGAAGAAGTTTGAGGACTCGATACTCATGTGAAAGTTGCGGATAACGAACCTGCAAATACAACCATATTAAGCACTCTTTAAATAAGCTAAAAAATTTTTTTGAATATGACGGCTTAATACAAATTTATCTTTATTCTACTAGGTACTGCATTTTCATACTCTCGAAATAACAGCAGGTAATTTCTCAGTGACAAAAAGTTATATATATATATTTCAATACCAAAATTTCTTTCTGCAAAAAATCAGATCTGTAGTTAGTTATATCTTCATAGCCGTTATATTTTGAAAGAGATGAGTAAAAACCAGTCAGCTCCATTTAAAATTAACCGTAATAGGTTCAAGTTTTACTGCTACGTCATCACCAGAACCAAATTCTATTGCCTGATAAATATCTCCAAATGAACCAGAACCTATTTTCCTTTGAATCTGATAATTTAGTCCAATGACGAAATCACCATAGGGTAACATCCATTCTAAAGTGTCTTCACCTCGACCAGGTGATGGAGGTACTGACTCTCTAGAAACTTCCCCAGACGACTTTGGTACATCAACTATACCCGTTGTTATGTCCTCTACATTCAGCAGTGCTTGTCTTTCCTGTACTACACTTACTCCTGGTGCCATTGTTGCATTCATTCTTGTGTCTGTAGCATCAACCGGATTTCCTCCTCCAAACATAGGCCAATTTCCTTGCTCATACGTTTGATTCGCTGCTGCGCCCAATGGAACCCCAAATGATTGCATGGGAACGGGTCCTGCATCCATCCGTGCCCAAGGCGTGTTCATGCCTGGCCCTCTTGCTCTATACTCATGCCTTTGACTTGAAAATCTTGACTCCGATCGATACATCTCTGGCACTCTTGTAGGCACCGCTGGCCATGTATACATTGGTGCTTTTACTGCTTTCGATGGATTAATACGCGGAGCATGCATTCGTGCCCGTTCTACATTCATCGAACGCCATGGTCGCACTCCCGCTGTATTAGTTGGAAAGCATACTTGTGTTCTTGGTGCAACAACTGGAGGCCATGGTCCTGCTGCTGTCACACCAGTCGGACGCCATACTTCTGCTTCTGTTCTACGAATCAGATGCCATCCTACAGATGTATGTGTTGGCGCTGTACTTGGAGTTTTCGCACCACGCGTTCCTGTCACTGTCTTAACTTTCTTAGGCCTTGCTTCCTTTCGTTTCGTTGGTGTGTCACCCATTGTTTTTGTCTACACTACTGCCTTCTCTAAGCTGTCAACCGAATAAAATAACTTCAATCATTAATATCGATACGAGATGTCCAATATTTCCCTCTAAACTAAGTAGAGCAAATAAAAGATAGAAAAATGTATTCGAAAAATTCCGCAATTTTCATGATTACTGCTCAAGACACTCTTCGTAAATCCTGTCTTTGTCAATAAACATCTGTAACCTTATTAATCATTGCGAATGTACTTCAATTCTAAATAAGGATGGAAAAAAACCTGAAAGAAAACATACTGTCCTTTGTAAACTTCTCCCCTTTTATCTGTGCAATGCACTAAACCTACAAGCCCTCTCTGTCCCACGATGTAGTACATCGCGAAGTAACCCTCATCCTCAAAACTTTCATCCAACTGCAACCTGATCATGATCAGCAAACTTTTCCGCCACAAAAACATGAGCCCATGTGCAAAATCCCGTCACTGAATGATGGATATCTCATGATTTTGTTTATGCAATATCAAGTCATGTCTACATTTGTGCGCTACCTATGATACTCATAACACAACTGGTCGAAATTGTAACACCGTTCCTTGAAACAACCCTAGTACGGGATCATCCTTTGGATGCACGGCAAAAAACTGATAATCAATTAAAAATCTTAAATAAGGTCTGACTCCAGATCAAAAACTTGAGAACAACTTTCTCAACTGTAACTGGGAATGACAGCATATTTCCCTACTCAAGAACTGAAATGAATAATATATTGTAAACGAATGGCCCATGATATTTTAATAATTTTGGTAAATGTAAGGTGAATGCAAATCAGTTTCTCTTATTGAAAAGCTTTTTGTACACAAAAAGGCAACAAAAAACAAATGCAATATTATACCCTTCAAAACTGCAAAAACAAGAATACGTCCTCTCAATACTTTACTCTAAAAGATTTCTTTCACTACAAGCTCCTCAATATTTACTTAAACCATACTGATCTATTTATACAAGCTAACAAATGGATTGCAAAACTCTACATAAAGTTCGGTAACAAACAACTTGCTAAAGAAGAATTAGCGGAAGAAAAATTTTTTGATATCATTCACAGAAAGATAACGCTAAAACTAAGTCAATACTTCAAGACATAAATGGTCTAAATTTACTCATTAAGCATGGAAAAGATATACTAGAAGCTATGTTTCCTACTACCTACAAGATTTCTATTATCATAAGCCCAATTCAGCTAGAGATCAAATCAACAACTAAAGTTTTTTCCTTAAATGACAGTTGAAGCAAAGGCTGAACAAAACCTCTGTTTCCACTGATTATCCGAAAAAAAAATCTCAATAACATTTTTGCTTCTAAAATGTAATAAAAACTCTTTAATGTCAGAAAACTTGATTTTTTAAAGTATCATGATGTTATAAAATCAAAATTTATGTCAAAGGATTCTGTTAAACTAATATGTGCGCTTAAAAATTAACCATATGAAGGAGCCTAAATACATTAATATAGCAATAGCAAATTCGTTGCACTTTTATTTTCTACTAAATGCAGAAATTGGAAAGCACAGATTTTCAGATTTGAAAATAACAGTTTCGTGCATATTTTAAATGAAACGCAGGCGTCAGAGTCAATATACAAGGAGTAAAAAAGTAGATGAACAATAAGTCAATATACAAGGAGTAAAAAAATAAATAAACAACTAATGAATATTTCACTGTTTTGCAGATGCGGCAGAATGAAAACTGGATAATACATTGCAAATAAGTGAAGTAAACCAATATCTAGTCTCTGATCACAAAAAAATGTTCATTTATTAAGATATAACTAATATCTCATGACTAATACAATCAAAGACTGAACCTCTAGTTTCAAAATATTTTAATAATGCTTCCATCATTTGCCAAGTTTATTTATCATTAATCGATCTCCATCTTATCATCATCTATAAACATTTCGGTAACTTGCAGTGCTGGAGACAGAGAATTAGAATTTCCAGCAACGACATTTTCGATGTCAGCAGAATGTAAATAAACTGGATCGTCCGGAAATGAAACTAGACCTAGAAAACAGTAGAGCGATTTAGCAAATATAAGTAATACTCTAAACCCAAAATTAAAACTTGGATTTACTTGAATTACGTATATTTGCTAAATCAAGTTTTAATCTTGGATTTAGAATACTACGACGCACTGAAATTATAACACAGAAAATTAAGACCTTAAATTTTTCTGAAAGTATAAAAATTTATAAAAATTTGAAAGAAATTTTTACCGTTATCACTGGAAACACATTCTTCATCATAATTGTCATCATCAATATCAATCTCTTTTATTCGACCTATCATTCCTTGATTACTTAATGATACAAGAGGTACATATGGCACAACAGCCATTGACGACGAACTGAAATTATAGCATAGAAAATTAAGATCCTACATTTTTCCTATATAAATCTCCAAAATACGCAAGCAATGAAATATATCCTTTTAACAATCAAAATAACCTACATATAATTTTGCGAACCATTCCAAATTTAATTTGGTTACATGATGTTTGATAACTAATACATAAGGTACAAAAGTGATGTTCGAGAAAATTCTTAGGCAGTAACAACAGTTTCGTCAACTAAGATAACTCCTACTTCAAAAAAGAATCACATAATTTATGTTCATTTTGAATATATCTTCGTATCTTTTCATCAACAATCAACAGTCCACCATTGTTTCCGCCATATGTTTCCTCCAAATTCTCAGATGAAGCACTAAATGTCCATACATGAGACAGATTCTAGTAAATAGGTTATTTATAACTCAAAACAGAGCATAGTTCAAGTATTAAAAAATCGATTTTGTATGCAGGAGTAACGTCTGTCAAGAAGCAAGTAAAAATTATAAACTATTGCTTGACTTTTGAATACAGATATTGACAAACATAAACAGTAAAATCAGATTTTAAAATAAACGCATACTCCTTCATTCTATTTTTGTTTATGAGCTTCGATTCATTTGATATATGAATATGCTCTAAACGAGCACTAACGTTTTCCACCTTTCGTTTACATAATGGTCCATCAATCTGCAATAATAATTGCTGTCATTTCTTCTCACGACTCTATCCAATAAAAAATTTAGATTGTCAAATATATAAATAAATACATGCAAAAAAAAAAAGACATTTTGGAGCATTTTAATGAAGAATGAGAAATACACTTTATAGATTTCGTGCAAACTTCGTAATAAAAACATTAAAGATTTCTATTTAATAAGAACCATATGTCAAAAAATGATTTTAAGGCATGATTAGTTACAAACGGTAAATACTGCGACAAAAGAGAAAAAAAAAATGGCGCTTTACCTCATTTCCTGAATGACGCTTCCGAGAATTTATCAGCGAATTGCTATTTACGGGGTAAAACATGTACATTTGTTCACACCCAATTTGACTGTCGTCATTAGTCTCCATTTTCATCTAGAAGTGCAAAATGATGCTTTTAAAAATGTTTTTTTTCAATAGTAAATACAATGATATTTCTGATGATAACAAACTTACGGTAAGTACTGCAACAAGAAAACTGTAGTTCAAAATAACTAGGAATGTAAGTACCACAAAGTAACGTATTACTTCTTGATTTCCAATAGCAATTATATTCTCTCTCTCAAAAAAAAAGAAAAACCATGACAAGATTTTGTCATTAAGATGAACAAATAAGCGACAGCAAGTGTCACTAATACAAAAGCAAAAAAAAAAAATTAAAATTAAAATTTCACCTACCTCATCATTTTCTTTATTTGGTGGCAAATTCAAATTTTGTTCAGAGATGAAATACGGTGTTGGTGGATGGCAAAATGGATGATTTAGCGAATACATCGGATCCATTCCATATGAACTAACGCTTGATGACGGGTATGAAATAGTACTTGAAGGTGTTGTCATTCTTCATCAAAGTTATACTGCAGTGTCACTGCTTATTTATTTTCACGTACAATTTGTAACATTTGACAGTGACTGATCTAATGCGAAAATACCATTACTTACTTAAATACTTATAACCTACTATAATTCTGTATTAAGATGCAGTGTACTAATTATGCATTATAAATACCCCACTAATTATTACTATAAATCTTTATCTACAACACTCAGTAACAATAATAATGACGTCTGTGTCCATTGAAACTAGGATAAAAGGAAAAAAACTACTGCAATAAACAAGTATCACGACAAAAACAAAACCTAATTGAAATCATATTTTAACATTGAAAAGATATGAAGTATAACCTCAAAGAAAAAATATAAAATTTTACATTTTGAAAAATTTTCAGATTCCCTGAGAAAATTCTAGAAAAACTAACGATCCTCTTTTTTACTGTTATCCTCTTTTGATATTTTCTCTCTATGACCTCATAATCCTCTACTCCTTATTTTCAGTATATTATGATACCTACCATTTTTATCAGAAAAACATTTTTCTTCATGAACAAAGCAAATCAATGATATTGATAATAACAATGTTTATTGAGGGAAAAAGGGTCATGTGACGTCTTGCGCACGTGCATTCAATTTAAAACCCATGGTTCTACAGATAATGGCAGTAACAAATATATGGTAATATACGATAGTCATCTTTACCATACTTCTATTTTCGATGTGCTTGTGCATAACGGTATTGATGATGTACTTACAAGTATTACATGCGTGTTTTTCTCATAAAAAAAACTACAGAAGCGTATGGTGTTATCAGTCAGCGAGGAAAACGTATCGAAGCGTTAGTGCCGTAATTGTGTTGATGTACGTGAAAAAAATATCATGGACTGGAAAATCAATTTGAATGAGAGGAGCACTGATTTAACTTGCTGCATTATGCAACGTATCATTCTCTCTTCATTTACAATATCTTACTCTCAAAAGTGTTCTCCTTCAAACTGCACAAGAAAACTATTGTGTGTATAGTTGATTATTCGATCAACAAGTATTAAATTAATTCAAATTTAAATATTGAAGCGAACTTGTTTCCGTTCAAGAATACTAACTTAATCTGTAGCCGGGAGTCAATGATCGTTTGTGTGTATTAAATTTAACAATTAGCAAGTTACATCAATTTATGATAACGTTTTAATTCATAAGTACTTGAATACTTAACAAAAATTTCTCTGATTTGATTCAAATTAAATTAAAAACAATAGATTGACTGTACTGAATGGCATATGCTAGCTTGGAATGAGTCCCGCACAATTTTTTTGAATAAGAGCGAGATGCTACTATGAAATTGTGATGTAATCTATAAGTTAATTTAATTTATAATTAATACTTAAGTTTCTGATATTTTGACAGAAGAAAATAAAAGTTGAATTTTGAAAAAGTAAAATTTTTTAAGAAATAGTGAATGAAAAATAAGGGACAGTACTGTTTAAACGTTCTAATACAATTTTGTGATTTCGTTTGAATGATATAAGTGATTACCGTATAGATTATCAACAATTTAAATGCGTATTATTAATGACCAAACCAAAAATTTTCTAACATATTTTTACGCACACAAATTACTTCATAAAGTATCTTCTTATTTGCTATTTAATACTGAATATTGTTGACTGCTAGAAAATGTTGGAGTATTTGTGCAGTTGAAACACGGAAGATTGAATATTTCATTAAATATTTTCATAATTGTTTGCTCATACATTCATTGAATTTTCATCAAGTTTCATGTAGCATTTTCGAAAGTTGTTTATAAAAAATAGTTCATAAAACTTACGTCTGAAATTTTAGGCGTGACTAGTAAACTTCTTGAAAGTTAATCCATTATTAATAATTTTATCAAAAAATTGTTCTAATTTAAAATCAACTTAACATTTCAGTCTTTTGAGCTCAAAATTAAACATCCTTTCCATTTGTGAAATGACTGTAAAATAAAAATTTTATCAGTCGGATAAACATACAGTCAGTGATCACTCCGGTGAAGTTAGAAGGCTGCCTCTGCAACTTGTAATTGAAAGAAATATCACAGACATATGAGTGAGTTAGGTCATTTTTTCTGTTGGGATAATTACTTATATTTTGTGTATTACTTTACTTTTTACTTATATTTTTATACATTATTGATTGTCTATAAATGTCTCTTCAACGATACATTGATTTGCTGCTATAAATCAGCTCAGATCAATAATGCTAAGACAAATATTTGAAAGTAATAAAAAAAGGCTGCAGCATTTCTTGTTCTGCTTTTATATTTTTTGCTTCAAAAAAATTGATACACAAATTGATTCTTTTTTGGTTTTTGACTTTCTTCTTCTTTTTAATCTTTTTTCAGCTGACTCTTTTAGTAAAATATCCCTGCAGGGTCAAAACACTGATGACCTGACGAGTCATAATTAACTTAAAGCATCAAACAACTCATCATTCCGATGTAAGAAAAGAGTGTTTGAATAAATTAAGCAAATACATACTTATATATAAAAATGTAAAAATCACCATATGCTAAAATATAAAATAAGTAGCAAAGAAAGCTGCGCATCTATTCGTTGAAATTTATAGTTGTCTACGTGGTTGGGCGTCAGATTTGCAGTCGCAAGAATGACAGCATTAGCAGTTATTTTTCTGCTAATTGTTGCAGCTATCGCTTATCTTCAGTACAGCAAAGTAAATCCATCAGTATCATTGTAATCATTTTCGGAATTACATTCAACGCATTGATATAGCAATCATTTTGTTTCAAAGCATACGTGAAATCGGTATTCTGAATTCATATCATTATTGAAGATAAGTCTTTAAAAGTAAATCTACTTATAACTTGACAGTATTACTTCCTCTGCAATGAGTAAGCTAGGAAACTACATGAAATCAATATAACCGCTTTGAATGCATCGCACAGAAATAACTGTACACTCAATGATCTACAGATGTACTGTATTTGTGGTGAAAAAATGAATCAGCTTAATATAAAAAATATCAGAATTTGAAAAGCTGATCCTTTCAGCTTCAGCGTGAAGAGAGCGTAGCCAAGTCAGCTACTACCAGACAATTTACAGATGTCACTCATGAGGTGTTTATTTACATTACTAATGGTTTTTTGACATTTCAGAATTACAAAACCTTACTCATTTTCATGTACCTTTTGACAAACAGATTTATTTGCGTTTCATTAGCAATTTAAGAGTGTTTTCAACTTTCCTTACTATTTAATTTGCACATTAATTTAGATCTCATCCAACCAAAATGCCTCATTTCATTATCCTTCCAACGATTGATTGTGATCTTAAATTTATTTATAGACAAAACCGCCGGAACATCTTGATGTACCGCCATCTGCTCCTCCACCTGCTGAGCCACCACCTCCAGCCGAAGCTCCACCACCAGCCGAAGCTCCACCACCAGCTGAAGCTCCACCACCAGCTGAAGCTCCACCACCAGCAGAAGCCCCACCACCAGCTGAAGCCCCACCACCAGCTGAAGCCCCACCACCAGCTGAGGCCCCACCACCAGCTGAGGCTCCAGCTTTACCACCTGCTGCTGATGCTCCACCACGACCAGACTTTTCACAAGCATCTGATGCCCGTACTGCAAAAGTAACTCATTTTTTTTCTCTGCAGATAAATCGAAAATTAATGGAATTCTATAAAATGGGATCTATTGAATTGTAAATTATAGGTAATATTTAAATGAATTTCAGGAATTAATGATACCACCAAGTACAGCATCTAACAGTTCAGCAAGGTTTTTTTTTCTTGTATATGTATATAAATAAAAAGCGCTGAACATACTGTGGTCTCAAATATTTTCAAACTCTTGAAATGAAATGAATGAATCAAAAGAATATAGTTTAAAGAATCTGAAGCTATTGCTCTACAAATGATATGAATTATAGCGGAACAGAACCTATGCAAACATCGTCTACCAATTCTAAAGACAAACCCAAGAAAAGAAAGAAAAGTTAGATTTTTCAATTTTACCAAAATTATGCTAAATTTCTTGAAATACAGTACCAAATTTGATTGACCAGATGTATGCTATAAACATGGTTCAAATTGTCTTTGGATATGAAGTAAAACCGAAATAAACGATGTATTTACAAGTTTTAATGCAATCGTTCCATCATTATCCATAATCTTACTTTTCAGGTAAAAAGAAGAAAGGATCGAGGAAAAGTAAGCCGTTTATTTCTAAAACATAAAATACGTTGTCAAAAAGTTGGAGAACAATTAAAAGTCATGCAGATCGTCCCAAGCTTTCTATTTAATATTAATAATCTTACCCGAATTTCATTTTCAGCGTAATCTGTAGCTCTTCAAAAATAATTATGTCTGAAGAGACAGAGATCAATCTGAATAGGAAAAATTTGAAAAAAAACTATCACTATAACTAAGTAGCTCACAAGTCCGAGCAGCTTTAAAAACTAATTTCAAGTGAAAATTTTCTGCGATCGAAGAATTAAAGATCGAATACTGTCTATTTAGGTAAAAGAAAAGCGTGAAGGAATGCACAAAGGAACAAGTGATAATGGGAACTTCAATTAATTTTAATGTGAATAATCATTAATTAATTAATTAAGACTAACTCTTATCATCCTCAGTTCTATAAATATCAACAAAAAAAAAATTTACACAGAAAATAATTACGATACTAAGGGGACATCGTTTCCGTCAGTGCATTCCAGGCATTTGAATCATGACTTACTTCACCCCACTGACATTTGCTAACGACTTAAATTCTGAAACATATTTGAAATTAGATTTGTTACTAGATACTATGATGTGCTGCTATAAATGTAGACATACTGCCAGGCTATTAAGCATATTTTGATATGGGTACTTGAAATGGACCTTTAAAGCAATAAAATAAATTCAGCCTTACTGTAACTGATTCCTATTACATAAATTTAAAAAAAAAACTGTCTTATCCCCAATTCTACTGCTGAAAGACCCACATCTTTACTGCAAAAACAAAATTAGCAGGTTCATTTCGGAAAAATATGAAAGCAGACCTGTCCTAAACGTTAAATAGTAATACTTTCAAAAAAACGACATATCGAAAGTATGTAAACAATTCCGACTGATTATTTAAAAGTAAGAATAAAACAATACGAGCTATTAAAATAATAAGTGTAAGAGCATAAATTTACATAAATTGTTCGTTGCCGACACATAAATGGAAAAGTAAATTCTATCAGTTACTTGATTGTAAATGACTCAGTTCTCACAAATCAAAAAAATTGCTTTAAAGCTGTGTAGGATATTAAACGGAGAATACGCGAAATAAAATCAAATAATATAATAGGAATGAACCACTACAAATGGACAATATGACATATACAGTTCATTCTTAAATACTAAAGAAATCTAGAAATTGAAATGTAAGAATATTATTCCACAAAAACCAGCCAAGCTTCTAGAAACTTGAACACTCATATCGCAGAAAACGTATTGTTCTAGAATTCGCTATTTAAAATACCATTATAAAGATAATAATGAATTTACTCCGTGATTTCAAATCTAGAATAAAATATACATCTCACTGAAATAAATAACAGCAAAACCATACCATAAATGACAGCGAATAATTTTTCCATGGTCCGGTATAATAGTAAATAGAAAGATGCAACATGTTAAAAAATATAAAATAAAAAGACTGAATAATAAATGACATTTAGATCAATAAAGAGCAGTTTTTTTCATCACAGCACAAAAATCTGCTTCAGAAACATGACCGTTTCCTTGAGTATCTGCTTCCATAATCATTTCCTACAAAAAATAGAATTCATGAACTGATTTTCCCCTAGTGGAACACATTACAGTGAGCTAAAGGATATTATGATATGATCATATTAAGAACTTGTGCTTTTCATGAAAAATTATTAAAGCAATCATGAATATTGAGTAAATATGGGGATATCAGTTCAGGAACATAAATTCAGCCAGTAAATAGTTTATGATATTAATTTTGAACGTCATACAATGATCCATAACAATTATTTGAGATCGATTTTTTTCAAAAAAATAAAGATTAGAAAAAATGACAAAATGAAGCTTACTCTTAACTGATCGTCCGCTATTGTCTCGCCCAATTCCTTAGCTACTTTTCTTAAGTCACCAATGTCAATATATCCTTTAGAATCTGAATCAAACAACTCAAAAGCAGCATGCATTTCTTTGATGCGATTTCGTTCATCAAGTTTTTCGCTCAATAAATTGGCGAGTTCATCAAATGTAACTCTGTCTGAAGCAAATTTTTGTTTCAAGAAGTTGTGAAATAAAAACATGCCAATATCGTTACGAGCAAATAAATAAATAAAAACAGATATTTTTGAAAACTGCTAAATTTTTTAGAGTCTTATTTTTCCTTCGTTCACAAATAACAAGTTGACATACCTTTCCGTCGAATTTCATTCTCACCCATCTTCGCAGTCAAAGCTCGAATCTCATCATTTCGTGGCTCAAAACCAAGAAACCGCAAAATAGTCTACAATGAATAACTTTTCTTTTTTCTTGTGAAACTTCAATCCTCTCGACAAAAACATTTCAGTGCAGAAAATATTTAAAAATAAAAAGGAAGAAAAAAGTTTTGTTCGATTTGAACAAAACAGTTCCTCAATTTAAATAAACAAGCAAGATTACACTGTCTTGACACTTTCTTTTTAAAAAGGAAAACAAATACAAAGACAGAATATAGAAAAAATTTACAGTTACTAAAAGAGTGATATAAACTAAAAGAAGATAAAAATCTAAGGCTCGATCTTCATACAAGTTGATTAACAACAATAAAAATTTGCGACAAGTTCTTTGAAATAAAATTTTACTTTAAGATTCTTGATAGACGTTGTTCCAGTACCCTCCAAATCACACTTTGAAAATGCTTCTTGCAATTCTCGACGAGAATATTCGCTCATAGCTTTTTTGGATACTCCTGCGGCAGATTGTAACCCATCCACACTAACCATAGCTATTATTAATTATATACTGTCATTAATTGCCTGAAAATATCCTTTAATTTTAGTATAACTTTGTGAAAAATCAATTTGGAAATGAGAAAAACCAAAGTACGATTCTAGCAAGCATTATTTGATCAATTTTGCATTTTTTGCCCTGAATTGTGTTGTGTAAGGAACTGCTCTTGGCGTTGTTTCAGCTTTAGATTCAGCACAGAAAAAAATTGATTCATTACATTAACTTTATTTTATCTGTCCTAATTTTGTCCGACTTGAACAATGACATTTGATCTCGTCTATTTCGTATGATAAAAGCGAAAAATCAGATGCGAGTTAATATAAATGAACTACCCGCAACACGCAGTTTATAAAAAGCGATGTTAGCATGCTTAAGCATAGATTCTAACAATCTATCCATTTTTACATCAAATCAAAGTAACCAAACGATACGTTCATAGCCTTTCGCCTAAATGCAAATACTATCAATATAATGTGCAATTGTGCGTTTCATTAAAAATTTCAATTTGGGATATCATTAAAGAAATTTTGGATTTTGAGGCAAAACTTTGGTTCATGTCAAAACCTATTGCAAAAGTAAACAACAGTGTCATTTTTTGTAGAGGCCATCCATCCCCAATATCTAATCTTCTCTCAGAGGTTTGTAAATGATTTGCTTTAATTTGTGGTTTATAAGCTATGTGCACGAAATTTTTTTGAAACTGTTCCAAGCAATTATTATGAATGAACAAATTTAATATTATCTAGTTTGTTGATTGCTTTAGGAAGTTTTATTGTTTCTTCGAAGGTACTTTGCTTGTGCTACAATCAGTTATGGATTGTTGGATAAGGTAATCGAATTCAGCAGTATTTCATCTCAGCAAGAGATACTTGGCGATATTCTAGGTCGTACATCATTTCGAGCCAGGAAGTTACATCGTAATGCACTGAAATACATTATTCGACAAGTATGTTGAATCATTTTTGCATAAAATTCGTTAATTATAATTTTATTCAGTAGTTGTGTTCTTTCTCTTGAATGTTCAAAAAATATATATATTGCTTAATTAAAAAATATTTTAGCTGGAGGCACAGAATGTCGAAGTTGCTCCAAACTTATATAGTTGTTTCATTGATCCCAAGATTGGAAACACACCATGTGTAGATCGTTACTATTTCGATCAACACTTTTTGAAATACATTTTGATACAGGAAGATCAGTGCCAGTTATCAAAGGGAACCACTGGTCTGTCATGTTGGCAGGTATATTTCATACTCATTGCTGAGTTTAAGAAATTTAATGTTTTAATGTGAAAAAATGTTTGTTCTCATCTTTATGTCAAGCAGTATTTGAAACCTTATAAATTATTAAATACTTCTTTATCACCTAATAATCACGGTTATCATTTAAAAAAAAAACTAAAAATAAATAATAGTTTTGAAAAGCAAGAAAGACAAATTACATAATAGTGATGTGAAAGATAATAAATGAAGCTATGGAAGAAGGAAGACTAGAAAATTTCAATGAAATCAGCATCAGTCGGTGCACAATTTGATGAATTTGTTTTAGGCTTCGTGCGATCTAGCAAATTATTTATTGAAGTTTGGTGGTGATATTATTTTTGGTAAGGATGTGCTAGAATTAGGTGCTGGGTGTGGTCTAGTTGGTATCGCTGTTGCTATTTCTGGATGTGCTAAAACCATTACTCTTTCTGATGGAAATAATGATGTCTTGGGAATGATTTATGCTAACCTTGAGGCAAACTCTTTAAAGGTATTAAATACTGTAATAAGAAAAAAACTAAAAATTTAATATAATTTCATTGTAAAAGATTAACAGTATCAGCATGTAAGCACGTATGATTTTGTTTCTTTTGTGCTTAATTTCTCCTTTTAAGCTTTTTCTAATGCTCAGTTTTTTGAGATATTGGAATTTTTCTAACATACTTAAAAAAGATAATGCAAGAAATTCTGATTTGTTTGGCCATTAAGTTTATTTACTGGTCAAGATAAGAAATGATTTTTTAATGAAAATTAAATATTAATAAAATTTTTAGAATTGTGATAACATATTTACTACAATTCTTCAATGGGAAGCTATAAATGTCAGCAATATTCCTGTTATACCGAGTGTTATCATTACTGCAGGTTTGAAATTTACTTCTGCTTAGTATACTTTTACAATTTTTTCATTATTGTTTCTACTTTTTTTCCTTATACATTTATTTTGTTAAACTATTATTTAATATGCTTCGAGAATTTCGCACAAATTTATTTTTAAAGACATTATTTAGATGTTGTGTACGATCTAGAAGCAATTAAACCGCTTGTGTGTGCCATAAAAAAACTTCTCGTTGCATCTGAGAAAGAAGGCAATTTAGAGCCTTGTTGTATATTAGCCAATACGTTAAGAAGTGCAGATACTATGGACAAGTTTGTGGCTTACTCAGGTGAATTTTATATTTTGGAGCTTGAGTTTATTGAATCACTCTAGTAATTTATATTTCATTGGTTAACGCAATCATATTTTACTAAAAAGTTGGTTATTTTTTTTAACTTTTCGTACACCTTCTTGGTTTCTCATTGTATCGTAGTAATTTGGTGGAAATTGATGATAAAAACTGATAATTACGTTTTTTCCATATACTTTATGGAGATAAATAAATCTGACAGAAATTTTTATTAATCAGTGAAGAGCTTTCTCGTTTTTGAAAATTCGATATTTTTCAGGGGAAAGTGGACTTTTGATTAAAAATTATTTTACCTATGAAGATGGCATCTTCATATTTGGCGATATTAAATTAGAAGATCAATCATTATTTCCTTTCACAAGCAATATACACTGCCCTACCGTATTTTACGAATTAGCTTTGAAGTAGTAAATGCATCCAATTTGGTTTGTTATCTGTTATTCGCGAAGTTTTCGTATCTTTTTGTACTGTGTTAGTGGGCGATTAATGATAAGTTGTTGGCACAAATTTGTTAACATGAATGCTTGTCATGTTCTCATTATCCAAATTATTTCAATTGAAAATAATTTCACGATTTATTTGAATTTATGAGTACAGTTTGACCATATTTCAGAATTAACATGTATGGAATTTTACTTCGAAATCGCTTGAAGTTCAACATATAGTCCCATAAATAATTTAAAAATGCTTGTAAGATTTTAAGAAGGACTGTTGTTTTTCTAAATTGAAATTGATAAAGTTCCGGTTACATAATTTTTGTGTTTAGATACGAAGGAATTGAAACTATGCAAATAAGGCGATATAGTTGAGCATTGCTTAATGTCTCCTGTTGTCTTTAGCTGATTTGCTCGGAAACAAATAGTTCTTAAAGTTTTCATTTCTTAAAAGATTAGAAAAAAAGTGAATTTCAATAGTGTTGCGAATTTATGATTTCAGAGCTTCTGTTGCCATGTGGGCCAAAATAAACGACTTAATTATTCATCATTGGTCTCCATTCACTTGTAGATACTTGCAATTTGAAGTCATATTCCTTTTAGTTCTTTGACGTACTCCCGTCTGTTATTTCTGCCGAGATTCTAAAATGAAAGCAATATTATTTGCTTCCTTTTTGCATTGCCTAGTTTTGATAGCAAATGAGATTTGTGCAAATAATTCTTTTCGCATGTTTTTATGGTATTCAAGTATGTGTTTTTTTTTCAGTTCACCTTGCTTAGAACGTGAGTACAGTCCTGAACATTAATATTTTGTATTGTATGTTTTATTGGCGTTTATTTAGCGTTGTAGAAATTTGTTATTCTTTTTAGAGTTAGCAATTTTCAGTTTAAAAAGTAAGTGGCAATATTTCGAAATGTTTTTACCACCCACTCTTGAAGATGGTACCGTTAATTCTGCCCAAATAGCAAAAGATCGTCAGAGAGCTCGAATGGAATCTAGAAATAGTGCTTTGCGCTTTGTTTTGATTCCTGTTGCTATGGAGCTTGGTTGGTAGTTCTTATATGATTTTAATTATACTAGAATTACTGTTTTTAAAGTGTAGCAGTTTTGCATGCACTTTCTAGTGTGGTAGATTCAATAGTTTTCTCGTAAATTGTTATTGAACTAAATAATTCGAAATTTTTATTGCGAGCGAAGTCCAAATTGTTATTGATTCTTATCTGATCATTTTCGGTCTCAATATACTGGTTTGCTGTTTTTTTAACTCAACAGTTCTTTTTTCAGGAGCACATTTTTGTTCTTTAGTGCTTGGCTGGGATTGGGTATACATATGAATGTCTCAGAATAATTCCATACATTTCCTGTTTTGTGTTAAAAAACATTTTTTCCATGTTTCATCACGATGTACTATGTTTAATTTACATGAAGTAACTCACGTTTAAGCGTCGATGCTCAGTTGAACCAAATTTTCTTTGTTATGTTTATTTTTTCGAAGATTTGCGATAACTTTTTTGTACTTCTGTTTCACGAGAGAAATTTTTTGCAATAAAATTTGTTCCTGTATTTTTTCTTTGTGGCTAACAATTGTTCCACACAAAAGATACATCTTATAAATTAAATAACTTGAGTTTTTCCTTAAGGATTTAATTGAACAAGTTTTCTCTTGAGATTAGTAGTTTTATTCCAAGAGTGGGACTGTATCGGCCGATAATTTATGACATTTGGGAGAGTTTGTTGATATTGTTTAGGCGTTCTGGTTTGTTGAGATGAATCCAAAAATAATTTCAGGCAGAGAGTGCCAAGAATATAAAGGGATTATGTCAATTTTGGCCAAGATTGCAGAGATCGAGGCCGAGGTAATAAGTTTTGATTGAGTAGGATGCAGTCTTTTTTCAGTAAATAAGTACGTTTTGACTTTTCGTGCTCGGAGTTGATTTATGGTTATAGTCGGATAACGTATTGTACTGAATTATCTTTGCACATATATAGGAACGAATTGACTTAGACAATAATAAAACAAAGTTTATTCGTACAATGAGAATCAGAAATTCTGTTGATCGAGATTATTAATTTTGAGTGTTCCCTCACAAAGATAATTGTAGATGGCTCGTACGCAGAAAAACAAGGCTACAATGGGGCATTTAGGGGTGTTAAAGGCAAGAATAGCGAAACTGCGACGAGAATTAATCACACCAAAAGGTGGAGGTGGTGGTCCTGGTGAAGGCTTTGATGTTGCTAAAACAGGCGATGCACGGATTGGATTTGTCGGTAGGTTTTGTTTTATTTTTTATTTATAATTGAAATCTGGCTTGAAAATTGTTATTAAAATCTTCCGAAGTTTTTCAAAAGAACATCAGTTTCCATTTTCATCTAGTTTTAGTAGTGTTGATTAATGACTTTAACTCTCAATGTTATTTTTTTAGAAATATATTTAAGAAATGGTCATAGATTGTTCGAAAAAAAGTGAGCATAACAAACGAACAATAAAAACCATTTAAAGTTAAATTCTAAAACATACGATTGAAAACGTTTATTTCATACCATATAATTCACTGCTTTTTAAAGTCATTGCAACAATTAATAAACAGGTTAGAACTCATAAGTGTTTCAATTTGCCATCCAATTTCTTGATGTGCTGATTACAATAAAAGTCTAACAATAAGGATTTACATATGTATAGAATTTTTTATTGAACCAGAATTTTGCCAAACTTAAAATTAGCAGACATCATGAATATTTTGTGTGCACTAACACTACAAAGTTCTCCCTATTCAAAATATACACCAAACTTTGTCAATATTACTGCAGAGTTCATAAAAATTGAAAGATTTGACTTTTTTTCAAAAGTTTTTAGCGAATAGTTTTCACACTGATACATGTGTAGCTGCAAAATTCATTGCTATAGAAATCGCTTTTGATAAAATTCAGTTTCGTAGTCTCAGAAGCATACAAAGCTCATATAAACTGTGAGCTTGTAAATTTGAGCATTTTAAGTCATTCTCTCTGTAAGTATTTCATTTATATGACCTTAAAAATTTCCAGTCTTTTGACTATTGTATTAATGAGATGCGAAAGTTGTGTTCTTCTAATTTATAACAAATGTTAGGATCGGAAAGATTTCTGATATAGGATGAGCAAACCTCTATATATATCTAAGGCCTTAGAATCTGATATTCAAGAAAGCTGATGGTATTTGTATCTGATCACTGCTTATTTATTTATTTTCATAATAATACAAACACTAAGGAAGAAATATTTCCATAGTAAAAAAAAATTTTGCTTTTCTTATTTTGAAAATATTTCTTTTTCATAAGTTCGAAGAGTGATTGGCTCTAACTCAAGTTGATATACTCTTCTGTAGAAAATAGAATTTAGTTATTACTATAACTTTATTGTTTTAATGGTCTACATTAATTACATTGCATACTGTTATAGAATCAGCATGTATAGTCCTTTAACTAAGTCAAATTCAAAATAAATAACGCTCGATTTATGCTCAATTCTTGTTTTCATTTGACGAATGAGAATTTTCAGTACTTAACAGCATGTCATTATGAATTCATTTGTTTATTTTTTCCTTATCAGAAAGGAAAAATGAACGAATAAATTAACAAATGAATAAGAATTGAAAATTATACAAATCTGTATTATAAATAACAAATATGAAGCATAGCGGTAACATTTGTAGTTATAAAATATCAGAAAACTTTTCAGCAAATTTATAACTTTATTTAGTCTAATTCTGTGAATAATCAAAAAGTTAACTAATATTCACTTTAGATCATCCTCAGATAAAGAATCATTACACTGTTCAGATGTGTAATTGTCTGAAGTAGGTGTTAAGCTAAAAGAATTTGGTGTAAGTGGCGATTCTCGTAGTCGTTCATAATATGGTCCATCATTACTGCCTTTTTTGAATAAATCTCTATAGTTGCAAGATTGTACGTTCAAATTTATTACATATTCATTTTCTTCCTTTTTGGAAATTTTCGGATTTTCAATCAAGTCTTGTATTTTCTCCTTCCGTTGACTTCTCATCTCGTCATCATCACTTTTTTCAGCATCTGACAATTTATGATATGCATCACTCTCATCATCAAATTCATCGCTTTCACTTGACCAGTGATCAAATTTGTGAGCTGTTCTCGATTTTTGAATCACTTTTGAATGTAATGCCTTTTTTTCAAGCACATTTGATATTTCTGATTCTTCAAGTGCATTTATTTTATCTATTAAAGAAGTCCTTTTCAAGTACACACCTCCATGAGTAATTTTTGTCGTTTTATCCTTACTTTCTTCTTCTGTTGGATATACCTTGGAAATTATTTCTGTTCCATCACATTGTTTGTTTGTTGATGATATTTTAGGATTTGATTCTGCAGGTTTGATAAACATAAATGATCCCTCATTTTCAGTCATTTGATTCCAGCAGCGTTCATCAAAGTGCCTATTTGAAATAATTTTCTCTGAATTCCAGCTAGAAGATTCAGGTTGATCCCACGCTACATTTAGCAAATTTTCAGCTCTAGGACGATTCCAGACATTTGTTGACCATTCATCATCTTGTCTTTCAAGATCTGTATCTAGTGGCTGAATAATATATGTTGTTGAATTCAAGGAATTTTCAGCAGAGCTCTGCATTTTTTCCGGTATTTCAGAATATTTTTGAAATGCTCCAGAGATAACTTCACTCTTTGTGAACCCTTCGTTATTATTATTGATGCAGTTGTTTTCTTTAACTATTTCTGTGGTGTAGTTTTTCTTATTTTCTAGTTCTAAACCTTGATTTCCTGACTCAACATCTTTAGAAGATGATTTTGAAGCTGTCATTGTAGACAAGTTATTAGACGTTTCAGACGAAGACAGTCTTTCTTCGGCTGGCAGTTGTGATGGATCACATTCGAACATTCGTCTCATTCGATGAGGGTCTAATACTACCATATTTTCGACATCTTTATCACTCTGAAGGTTTTCTTGTGGGATTCTTGTTGTCAAGGCGATTTTCTCAGGTTCAGAATGATCCATCTCTGCGTCTGTTTTATTTGTTGATATGCAAGTTCCGTAATTTGGCACTTCAGAAGCATTGCGAAGTTTGTTGTCATTCTTGTTTGCTTTCCTTTTGACACAGTAGTCCCTGAAAATAAGCTTTGGACAGGTGAATTCAATTGAATATTAGCATATTAATAGAAATCGTAATTGTATATTTTAAGGTAAGGAAAAATTTATGTCTACGCACATTAGTTTATTGAAAAAGTATTCTCATTACTGATAACTTAAAAAGGAGTAGTGATCAATATTTGTAAAAAATGTGAAATAACAATGAAGATAGAGGGGAAAGTGAAAATTGCGGCATTATAAAGACTATTAGCTGTGTAAAACATTAAATATTAGCTGGTGAATATTAGCATATTAATAGAAATCATAATTGTATATTTTAAGGTAAAGAGAAAACAGATGCTGAAAGAGTAAAACAAGTAATGGATGTAGAATAAGAAAACGTGCTTTTATATTTGTCACTTGATTTGTCCTTCAAGTAAATTATTCATTCGTACATTGCAGTACAAATGCTTTGTGATAAAAATAATTCAGACGACAGTTGTGATAGATGAAAAAGTATTAGTTAGTCTGATAAGTGTACAAGAAGTATAGAAGTATAGAAGGATATTTTTCGTGCAAATACAAATAACAAGCAAGCGAGAAATTTTTTGCATCTTGTGAGAGGTAGATAGATGTGAATTAGATGGATGTGATTCTTGCTTGCATTGCTTTCAGACCTATCATTGTGTCTTTAATGATATGCATTATATGGCATAGAATGAATGATTAGCTGAGTTAATTAGCGGATGAATAAATGACTGAATGAGTGAATGAATGAATGAATGAATGAATGAATTGGTATTAAGAAGATTGATATATTATCAGTCACTTCTTATTTATGCTGATACACGTATACATACACAATAATTCATCAAATAAAGTAGATAAGGCAGTTGGAAAGTATCCATTAATCCCTTCTTTTCTTATCTCGAATACACTTATACTGCTGTAACAATTCACTCAATTTTATATTCAATTAAATAACTTCATTGAAGACTGCGTAGTAATTTTATTAAATTTATTCAAGACAGACAAACAATCGTTTTTGCAATTTAAGTCTCATCTTGCATACTATGTTAGCATGATATATCATAGAAAATCATTTAATGATCATAGTATTAATGATAAGAATAATGTAGTTGAAATTTAACTTACCTGCATACTCGAATAGCGGCAACAATATAGGTAATAACGAGAAATGCTACAACGATAAATAAGATAATGAGCAGACGTAAATTATCTCCCTGTGAATCTTCACCATTTTCATTGTAATTTTCTTGATATTTTGTCATTAAAACCGTTTCTATACGTTCAATCCGCACTCCTCCAAGAATTCGTGATAATGCCGCTAATTGAGCAGATAGAATGTATTTGACTTTGATTGAATCAAGAATTGTTTCTGTATTAAGCAGACTTAAACGTTGACTTTTTGTTACAACAAAACCAATAATTGTTGATTGCAGTTCACTTGCTTGTGTTCTCAGTAGCACTACATTTTCCTGCAAATGATACTTACGATAGGGTTTAAATTTTGTTCACTGTATTCGGAAGAAGTTGATTGTCAAAGCAAAATTAGTAGAAGAAGCCGATCTCAACTGATTCTTGTCTTGCCCGAAGTAATTTTAATTTTGAAATACTACAGTTATAAATGCCAGTATATATCAAAATTGGGTTTATTTGAGGATGTGCTTTCGAGAGCCATGTGTAATTTTTTTGAAATTCATTACGTTAACTAGACAAATCGTTCGATTAAATACAAACAGTCTTTTTTTTCGATTCACAAAATTAATTAAACTCATTACCTTTTTTAGCCGAAGTGTTGTAGTCAAGCATTCATCAGCTTGTTGCTCACAATAATTACTCACAACAGTTGCGACTCGGCGCTTAAAATAAGACTCGTAAGTCTCATCGGTATGAAGTCGAGCGCTTAAATTCACCCTTCTGATGTTCATCTCAATTATTGGCAATTCATCCAGCTAAAAATAATATTGTATTTCAGTGAAATACAAAAAATAATTAACTATCATTTGCTTATCTTTTCCATTCAGGCATTAAAAGAGAAATGATTAATTAGTGTATTAATTAACGAACTAAATTTGAAGCAAGCCGTATGAAAAAAGGAACTACAGAAAGCTTAAGAAGAAAGTCATGTTTCTCATGAAATAGACAATCACACAACATAATTACAATCAAATTTTTTTCGTTTTTGCCTCCATCATTTTCATGTACTTCAATAATAATAAAAGTTGTTGGTTGACGAAGGAACTACAGAAAGCTTCAAAATTCGAATTTTTATAGCATTATCAATTAAAATCCAGTATGTCTCGCGCTGAGTATTCTATTTTTGACTTTTTCAATACTTATGTGAATTGCAGAAAATAAGGCTAAAATTATAATTAGCAACTTTCTTATTTTGATACATATGTCAGTGTAATAGTTTTGTTTCAATTTCAAATAGTATAAAAGGATGAGAGGCGTTATATTTTTGAATTAGTGTATTTTTTGCTATTACTAACTTTAGTTTTTTAATTCACCCCAAGCTGTGCATTTCTTGGCTGAGTAGAGGCTTAGAACTAATAATTATATATCAAGTTTTACAAAACAAAACAGTTGTGTTATTGAATGTTTTTTCTAAACTTCGGACAAAAATTGCGCATTATTAGTGCTTTCTAATAAAGCTTGATGCAATCTTTCAGTAGACGTTGTTTGAAGAAGGACTATCGTATCTAGATCTATTTATAACTTGATGCTTTTATTTAGCAAACGAATCGAATTTAGCAATCGTTTCAATTTTTCAAAAAACTACTTCACGCACTTGGAATGAATATCTATTGACTTTTTTAAAAGAACTCAGTTTTACTATTTTAAACATGATTATTGTTTGCAATTTCGTGTAACTCTCCGAAATGCACAGCTTACAGCAGGACTTTCTGAAGTGAATTTGAATGTGATTGGGATATCGTCATGAATAAAAGATGAAGTATCATACTGAGCAAGGAAAAGTAATAAAGAAGGGATGGTGTGTGGGTAACAATCAGTTAGCGCTAGTTTGTTGTGTAAGAACGTTGCTTTCCAAACATAGATAATGCAACTTACTAATATTAATAGCAGTGTTGAGAAATGCTGAATAGTATTGTAAAGAGGACTATCTCATTTAGTATTTATAGTTTCTCTCGGAGCATAATAGTTTATAACAAATATTTTCAGTTGCACTCAGAGAACATGGTTTATTTTGGCACTTGCATTTATAATGATTATTTGCTGTGCACATTCATTGTGTTTCTTGCCTGCAGTGTTATTATTGACTTGATGTATGTTATTTTAGTAATAATCATAATTTATTACTCTTTTGCAAGGTGAGCTAGTCGAATAATTTATTGGCCCATGGGGTATGAGCATGTAAATCACAATTATGGACAAATAAAAAAAGAATGCTATACCTCGATGAGTTGACTGCACTGAATATATTGTTGTCTTAAATTACCCGCAATATGTTGACAGATACACACAAATTCAGTATTATTATTACATAATATATCAGTAGAAATTGGAGTTATATTGACTGCATTTCTGGTAGTAGTAATTGTGGCAAAAGTTGTAGTATGAATTACTGAATGTGTCGATTTCATTGGTAGGATATCAGTATAAGGCGATGATATGGTTGAGGTGGCAAATAATAGCGACGAGTAATTTGATGGTATTATTTCTGCTACCGAGGGAGCTTTATCAAATAATGTAGGTAAAATAAGTGATAAAAATATACAAAGTTTGTAATTTAAGTGCATAATAAAACAGCAAATGCAATGACAAAATAATTGTAATAATAAAAGTATTGAGAATAGCAATAGTGAAAGCCAGAAGTAGACTTGTAATAAAGGTGAGAACAAGGCCTAACAAGCATTATCCAAGGCCAGTTCTAGCGGTTCCTGGCTGTTTGAAGCAGCAAGACTAGCAGTGAACAAAGCCGATCATTTATTCACTTTCCTTCTACTTTTAGCATATGTCAGCGAAAAAATTCTCAAATCTTTAGAAAAAATAACATATATGCACATAAATATATAAGCAGGCGCTATATTGAGGCCAAGCTAGCAAGCCTTAAGACTTATAATGTATACATATATATATATATATATATGTATGTGTGTGCGTATGCGTGTGTTGGTGGATTGAACTAGCTAGTCTTTTATCCTCTTCTTATTAAGGACAGCTAGCTAGTCTTTTTTCTCTCCGTTAAGGCTTGACTTTCTCTTTAGTCTTGCGTCTAACTAACTTTCTTCATCTTAGCTTAACTTTCTTTAGTGCATTGTCAGTTGTGCTATATAACTACAAGCCTAAACTTGCTCTATCCAACCGTCTTAAAGGCTATCAAATCTCCTTGGATTCCCTTGACATCCCTTCATTAAATTCACTCTTATCTATGCTTTTCTGCTAACTTTCTATCATTCATTTATTTTCAAACTTGTCTAGCATAAAAATCACGTATTTCTATCTCTGCTTTTGTGTTTTGTGTTTTGCCATCAATATAGCAAATTTATAGTGAGCATTCGAAAATATTACCATTGTCTTGAACATATGGCTTACTTTTTCTCTACTATTTTCATAAGTTTTATCTCTTTCGTGATTAAAAGCAGTGAATACGCTGTTTTTATTATCATTACAAGTATTTTAAAGCCTAAAAATATTAGGCCTTAAAATACTGTTAGCCCTACTGATCATGTATATTTGGCTGAATTTTTGTTTACAAATGAGCAATGCAAACTTTGGACAAGCAATAAAGTAATCGTTCAGGAAGCAAGCTTTTTGCGTACTTAATATTTTGAATATGAGATAAGGATATGTGAAAAGGAAAATACACATAGTTTGGTTGAAATTGAAAAGTGAGATTATTAGCAAAAGTAAAATTGAAGATAGTTTGTGTGTTTGAAGAGCTGCCCTTGTGAAATGCAATATCAAAGATTCATCACGAAGGTTTTTATTACTCAAATAAATATTTTAAAATGATGAGCAACCATCTTCTTCGTACTGCATCAATGTTTGCGATGGATAAAGAATTGAAATTTTTGAAAGAAAAATGTTGTACTTGGAAAAACGCTAGTAATTCTTTTTTATTGTTCCAATTAAGTAATTAATTTGAACCCTATCCACTTTTCTTTCTTATGCCTTCTCGTTAACTGTTATGTTAATGCAGCTTTCTTTGGAATGATTAGCCTAGCTTGCTAGATACGGAATGTTATTTGAACTTCATCTATGAATGAAGATTTATATCCCTTCAAAAACTGTTTATCAGAGTTGTAACCATATTATGCAGTGGTAATTGAGATTACGAATAGGGAGGATCAAAATTAAGATATATATAAAATGTAAGAAATTAAATTGCACTTGAGTAGGAATCTTTTTCAAAATTTTAAAGATATACTTGATTTCTCTAAATTTCGTTCTGATCCTTTTTTGTGATAGCAATTAAGAGTCCAATAAGAAAGCAATTAGATTTTGTAGAGTTGTTGAAAATAGTAGTTACTTTCCGCATGAATTGAAAGAGCAAAAGATCATTTTCAGAAATCAGCTATTTCTAGCTGTTGTCATTGCTAGTAATGATAGTAACAGCTTTACATAGCACTTTACTGTCACAAGATTTTTCGCACAACTTAGATTGTTCCATAATTCAGTCAAGTAAATAGAACTTTTTAAAAAATCATTTTCAGAATTATTTCATGAAGTTTGTTAAATAGATGAAATACGCTTGTTATGTATACAAATGCTACAGTATATCTAGGCTAAAAAATTTTGATTTCTTTCCTAATAATACAAGCAGCTTCTAGTTTTAACTTCCGTTTATTAGTAAATGTGTGGATCAACTTCGAATCTACACTCGTATCACTACAGAATTCGTCTTTCATACAAGGAGCGTTAAATTAGAAATAAAAATGTATCCCATATATTAAGTATAGATCAATCAAACTTAATCCTGTCATCAATTTTTCGATGTTTCATTTCAAGTGCAAGTGCTTGCACTACAATTCATCATTTTTAAATCATTTAACGTTTTACAGTATCTCCATAAGCTGGCTTCATTTTATCGATCATCTGTCATATTATAGGTAATATTTTTGTGCGTTTAGGTCCCAATTTTTTAATGACAGATGGAAGTAATGCTTGCATTTTCAGGTTTCCCTTCAGTCGGCAAATCAACTTTACTGTGTAATCTTGCTGGTGTTTATTCGGAAGTAGCGGCATATGAATTCACTACTCTTACTACTGTTCCAGGAGTTATCCGTTATAAAGGTGCCAAGATTCAACTTCTCGATTTACCTGGAATTATTGAAGGTGCAAAAGATGGGAAGGGGCGCGGCCGTCAGGTCATTGCTGGTTAGTGCTTTTTTTGCATGTTCAAGACTTGTTGATGTCCTTCATTTAATTAATAATAGTTTTTAGCATATAACATTGAAAAATTAAAAGTTAGTACCATGACATGTTAACTTTTTTTTATTTTCAGTTGCGCGAACATGCTCGTTAATACTTATGATATTAGATGTTATGAAGCCATTACAGCACAAAAAGTTGCTAGAATTAGAATTGGAAGGATTTGGAATACGATTGAATAAATTACCGCCAAATATTTTATTTAAACGTAAAGAAAAAGGTGGCCTAAATTTAACTTGTTTGGTGAGCATCCTCCCTACATGTACTATGCTAAAGTCATTAATTATTGTCTACCATACCCTCTTTATCAATTATACTTCGTTGAATCTTATTTATTTGATCAGTCCTGCTTCTTTGTTCTGCAATTTGCCATCTACGTTATTAAGTTTAAACATGAAGCTGAACGGTAAAAAATTCAAATAATTTAATGAGTTTATTCGAGTTTCTCTTACCTTATTTCCCATATTAGGTACCACAAACAGAATTGGATGTAGATATCGTTAAAAGCATTTTGGCGGAGTATCGTATTCACAATGCTGATGTGACTCTCAAATACGATGCCACTTCAGAAGATTTAATTGATGTTATCGAAGGAAATAGGTTTGTGAGTCACGTAAACTCCTTTTTAATTTAACCTCAGTAGAAAAAAAAGCTTACAATTTCTCTCATTTTCATATAACGATAGACTTGGTTCTTAACCTGAAATATTATTTTTATTTTTCATAAACAATTGCAGTTCCAGTCATTGCTTTCAACAAATTCAGATTTTTAATTATTTGTTTACAGGATTTACATGCCATGTATATATGTTTTGAATAAGATCGATCAAATCTCGATTGAGGTAAACTAATTAATTTGCTACACTTTAAGATTTTTCGAATGCTTTACTAAAAGATTTATTTTAATTCTGAACCTTTAGGAACTAAATATAATACGTAAAATCCCACACTGTGTACCGATTTCGGCTCACCACAAATGGAATTTTGATGATTTGCTCGAAAAAATGTGGAACGATTTAAATCTTATAAGAATGTGTGTCCTTTAATACTATTTTAATAATATTATTATCCTATTTTATAGTACTTTTAAAATTCAGTCAAATTTAGCAGTATACTTTTTACTCGATGCTTGTAAACTGTAACTCGGAAATGAAGCTAATCTTCTATCTCAAAAGTTTTTGCATTTTTGATTTTTGCCAGCAAAAAGAAATAGCGCTTCCAACTGAAAATTTCCAGATACACTAAACCAAAAGGACAGTTACCTGACTATAATGCTCCAATTGTTCTACAAGCTGAAACACGAACTGTCGATGATTTATGCATGAAAATCCATAAAACTCTTCAAAAGGATTTCAAATTGTAGGTTTGGAAGTATGAAACAATGCAAAAGAAAAATTATATATTTTGAAAAATCACTTCCTCATACTTATAAATTTGTTTGATGTACTTTCAAGAAATTGCAGACATCTTTGAAAAAATTAGAGATCATTTCTAGTGCATATGTTTGGGGCAGTTCAGCGAAACACAATCCACAAAGGGTAGGAAAAGAACACATTCTAAATGATGAAGACGTCGTACAAATTGTTAAAAAGTTGGTTATTTTCATATTAATCTATTTCTTCTAGAAAGAAGATTTAATCTTCATTTTTAAACATCAATATCCGTCTGGTACTTTTAAAGCTTTCTGATGCAACCACATTAGTTTCTCTGACTTCGGATAATATGTGAATAAAATACTCATGTTTCAAGATTGAGCTTTTTTTTCGAGCTAGAATTATCTATTATCAAAATAATACTTTTTATTTGTGAATTATTCATCTAAACATCTTTAAGCTTGTTTGACTAAAAGATCAAAAAACTACGAGTCTCTCAATAGATGTTGTAAAAACTTCATAACTTTTTTGCAAATACTGTGGGTAGAAGGTAAAAAAGTTGTATCAGAATCATGTATCCACATCATTTTTTACGTTATTTGAGCAAATTTATTTATAAATACTCAATATATCTCTTTAAATATTAATTTTACAGAGTTTGAATAAATGCCGATCCCTTCTACGAACAAACGCGACTTTTCGGAACATTCTGGATACTTCTTTTTTTACTAGCTCTCTCTGTCCATATTATGTGTTTTCATTTGTTCCAACTTAAAATTACTAAAATTATTTGTCAAATTAATCTCCGAAATTTAAAAATATCAAACGATTTAATTCTATAATTCGCGAATAATAACATACTTTGATTATCTCTTTTCGCCGTAACTTTTCAGTTTCTGAATTGAAATGTTGTTGAAATCTTCGCTGTTGTCTCATGGTTTTGAACTACATTGCAAAGTATTACCATTAATGAGAAAATACTGTTCACAATTTTACTATGCAGCTTATACATTAAAAAAATATCTTGACAAGATTTTTTTTGATGAAGTTAGTTTATTTAAAAATAAAATCAGAAGTGCTGAATGCTATAAAATTTAAATTGCATTAAAAACGACGGCTAAACCATGACAAACAAAAAGTGTTTTGCATGGTAATAAATGCAATTATTGAACAATACTTCATTATGCTTGCTGTTAGCAAAAAAATCATATGATAAAAAATTATAGGATTACCTGGACTAAATCCTTTTTATATCTCTCCAAAATGTTGTTGCAAAGACCATCCAAGACTTCTTTTACATCACTCGGTATTCGAATCTTTCTTTGTCTGATTCTTACCACTGGGATATCAATAAATAAACTGAAATAAAATTTTGAACTTCTTTCCCGGTAAAGATCTCTGATTTTATAAAGCGTACACAAAACTATGAAAAAACCGACCATGAATCAATTAATTCTTGCAGTCGTGGAAGAGATCGAACTTCTGGAAGCAATATTGAGCTCAACAAAGGCTCTGAAAATAGTCTGCACAACATTAAGTAAAATGGGTGCTTGCTTTTACATATACATCAGTCTTTAACGAGAAATTTTAAACACAACAGAAATCTACCGTCCAGAAGAGATTCGAGTACGATTTCAACAAGTCTGATTGTTCTATTTTATTTCTAAACCCGTATAAGTTTTGTTTTTAATACAGCTCAGCTTGTCAAAGATGCAAACTTACGAAACATGGGTGGTACAGAAGCAATTGCTTGAATAGCTGAATGCATAGGGAAAGTTAAGAAACCCGTAAACAGTTCAAACAAAAATTCTCCGAAGGAAAATACAAACATGTCCTCCAGGCTCTATAAGATTGAAGCATTTATTCATCATGATGATCTGCACGCCATCAGTAATTTACAAATTTTTTAAAAAAATGAAAAAGATTTTTTCATAAAATTGTATGGAATACAATTTAGATGGTATTTTATTGGATAGCTTTTGTCCAAATTTACTAAGTTTCTACAGCACAAAATTTTAGGATCTTACATCTATAGCGTTAGAGTTTAATAATGATGGACGCCGCAAACTTGGTTGCCCACTCAATACTGCAAAACTTATAGCATTAAAAGTACACTTGAACTTGAGCTGATTTCTTAATCCAAATATTACCTTGATCTAAATCTATCAGTTCGCAGCCAAATTCTGTGACCACAATATTTCCAGCATGTATATCAACTGAAAATTACGGGAAAAGACAATTTTCAGAAGTTTTTTCTGTTTGCATCAGTGTTAGCATGGAGCATACAGAAAAGGCATATAAAAACAATGCAAATGCAAAATCATCACATAAAAGAATTGTTAAATATCTGCATCATGATTAAAATTATCTTAGATATAACTGGTCTCAATGTTTAAAAACTTTCATGAGACATGAAATACAGATAACTTATTTTGTGCTAGAAATTTATGAAAAAAGTACAAAATAAAGTAAAGAACCAAAGCAAAGATACAATGACATATTTTTTCCGTAAATTATATAAAACATACGATATGGTACAGGGACTGCATTCAGGAAAGTTAATGTTTCCAACAACTGTCGACTAATAAAACGAATGTCGTGATTCCCTAACGAGCATATTGGATTATCTACACGGTACTTCGTTAAAAATTTATCTTTCCAGTCGCTCTGTACAAAGCAATTGGTATAATTACACAAAAATAGTAAGTCTTATTACTTATCAATACGTAATCTTCCCATCCATGAATTTCCACATCTTTAAGAATGCATCTCGTACACAGTAAACATAATTTTATAACTCCACTACAAAAAATAATAACTATTTAAAGGTAGTAGAAAATCTTATACTTCAATTCATCATGAAAAAGGTCAAACAACGAAAAGGGAACAAACCTTACACAACTGATCACGTAATGTTCCATCCTTAAAAATAGATCTAACATAAATGATTCCACCATCAGTAGCCCAACTTGCAACGCTCTCATTTAAGTGCGAACATTGTAAGCTTCGTAAAAATTGCAAAACACTGTTAAGACCTGACACTGTACCAAAACGGTCTGGACCATAACGAACACCGGAGAGCATGAATTTTGAATGACAATATTTGACTTCATAATGCACTTTGCCAGGTCGCCAGCCACAGTGTTTTCTAGGTTTCTCAATAAGCCATTCACGCTTATCACGGAGCGATAGAAGTATCCATTCATGTAAATCTGAATGCATGAGAGTCTTCTCGTACAAAGTTCAATTTTTGAATGAAAGAAGAAAATTCGTAAATATATGTGAATATTTAAAAGGTTGGACACTTGAAAAAAAATTTTTTTTAAATGAAAAAAATTAATAGTTGCAGATATTATAAGGTTCAGTAACAGAACTTTGAATTTTTGCTAAAGATTAATCTTACCGACATCTGAATCGGTGAAGCTTTCGAGAAAACTGACTACTGGTGGGCATGTATAAAGAACTGGATGGAGACAAATAACATCAAGGAAAGCCTGTAAATCATTTTTCATAAAGTTTTTATTACTCTATAAGTATCACAAGTAAATAATGAAAACTTCTTCTATGTAATACAACATTGATTTACGAGTACAAATTCCATGTTCAAATTCTTTTAGTCGGTTTTCTCGATTCTTACAATCATTGAACTTATATATTTATTAAATGGAATGCAGCAAAATAAATCAAGGTGTCATCAAATATTTATAGATCTGAATAGCTTTTTAATAAGCCCTATCCAATATTTTTTATAAATACACAATAATCATCAGTGACATAACTTGCAATACTCTTATCTTATTACATCCTGTTTTTACGATATTCATATGCACAAACTCTATTTTCGAAAGCACAAAATCTCGATTATTTTTAACCTTTAATTTCGATTACAAGATAAAACCTGAAGTGCTAGCATACGTCGTTTGATGAAGGGTTCCTTCGTATTTCCAATAATTTTCTTTGGAGGAAACTCTAAATCAATACCAAATTTTTCAATTTCTGCATTAAGTTTCCTAAAAATAGATTTGCAAGCACTAATTAAAATATTGAATTGAAGATCACATCTAACTAAATTTAATAACATTTACCAATTTTTGAACTAAAAATATGGATCAGCTTTTATAAATAAAATGCTAAAATGACAACTCATAAACATACAGAAATTGTCCATAACGCCGCTGAATACGCCACGGTTTTATAGTTCGTAACTGATTCGTTACTTCTATTACATACTCCTTAAATTTAAGTGCATATTTCATCAAAGGAGACAACAATGAGAAAACACAATGAAAATGTTGTTTTGCTTGTAAAAGCAAACACGATCTAATATTGTAAAGTAAAAAATTTTTTATTTTTAAAGTTTTAGTACAATTGTAAATTTGGTCTAGTGCTTGTAGAATGTCCAATAGGTTTTGTCTTTGTGAGTGAATTCAGAAATTTCCATCTTAAATAGAGCTCCCATCGTTTAGCATGTTATAATTCTTTATCTTCTCATGTTTTTGTCTTTAATTCTTACTTTATAGCTGTATTTTTTGATCTCTAATGACCAAAAATTATATTCTCACTAATTAGAGAGTGAAACTTAATTACAACTAGAACCTCTTTACTGACTATTGCGTCTTATACAATCTTTGTTATAATCTCTTGCTATTATGATATTACTTTTCAATATAGGGTTGGATTTTTCTTTCAAAAACCATAAATTATCTCAAAAACTTACACTTTTTTAATGACATGATCATGACTCCTATTTAACAATCAACCTAACCTGTGATCGACTCAAAAACTCAATCTACATCTATAAAATATGAAATTATTCCAAATTTCAGTACTTTATCAATGTATTATGTGGTTCGCCACTTATAACGAATTTCAGGTATGGACTTATTTCCATGAAAATGTTTAAAAATACAAGGTGTTTAGTGGTGGATCGAAATGAACAGAATACTAACTACGTGATCAAGTGCACGTTCCCAATTGATAATGATGCATTTAATCGGATGCGTGATATCAATGATTGCATCTGAATTTCTCTGCGTCATCGCTCATTCTCTGCAAGCCAAATTCAAATTTGACATCTTCAAAGCTTAACTTTACTTCACATCTTAGCTGCTGAATATAATTAAAGCTTCCAAGAGTTCACGAAATATTTTCATGATGAGAAAATTTAGCAAACTTTACAGAAAAGGTAACCTCAGAGTACCTGCCTCTCTAAACCTTTAAAAGACAACAAATCCAAATATCATGTGAGGTCGATATATCTTGGGAACCTCTGTATGGTGAGCAGTTGCTGAATTTTATTAATCTAATATTCAAACACTCGGGTGCTTCGTTAGTTCAGTTTTCTTTAATTATAGTAAACTGTAGTATGAATAATGTTTAACATGATTAATGTGGGCAATGTGGAGTAAATAAATTCACATTAATTCCGAGTTTTTGTATCAGTGCACAGACGTGCTTCATTGCAGCTTTAAACTGGCATCCAACTTTAAGACACGTAATTCCATCTATGTTAATACGACATTTTCACAGTGATATGCAAATTTATCAATATTAATCAAGAAGTGCAATTTAATTAATATTATCTAAAAGCTGATATGCTTAACTTTATCTGTGTGGATTGAAATCTGTTCTAGTTTTAAAGTTCTCAGATTCAAGTAAGATAATTTGCTAAGAAAATACGGAACAGTGATACTGCCTTGATAAGAATTTGTGTGTCATTTGGAATTGTGTTGAATGAGATTAAAATAATATTTTATTGTACTATTTATCAAAGAATTTATTTGACGTAAGAGTTAGTTTAAAAGAATTATTGTGTTCAATTGATTGTGGTAAAATGAAGTTCTCGTCTCAATTTTAGGTTGATGCGAACTCGATAATATGTACTCTCAAAACAAATGAACATTTGACATTACTAAATTGAAGTCTGTTCCACACAATATGAAGAATGAGTTCATCAGTTTCAAGTCGTTCAACGTTATCTGGGGTTTTTTAAATATTACTAAATTAATGTATTTAATTATACATACACATTCTGCAAATTTATCCTATTCGGTATAAAGTTTTAGATCTCGGATAATTATTCCAACGAAGTGGATAAAACCGTGTATAAAAATAGGAGGATGGAGCTTTCGGAAGGTGAATGTCTGAAATGCTCTGCTATGAAACTTAACATCATTGTAGCTGAAAAAGCTCTGGCATCATTAAGTTTGCAGTTTAAAAATGTTCAAAAAGAACTTGAGGTTGTTATTTATTCAAATTTATTAGCTTTTGTCAGCTCAAAATCCACAAATATGTTCTTCATTAGATTTTTTGACAAAGTCACTTATAGTTTCCGAACTTTTTTGAAAATTTCTTTTATTAATGCTAAAACATCTCTGAGAAATTTTAGAAAACAGAGCAAGTGACGAGAATAAATGAAGAGCAGGCGAAATATATCGATGAAAGACGTTCTATGTTTGAAAAACTGGAAGCTGATCGTTCAGCTTTGTTCGTAGAATATGAAAATCTGCAGGTACATTTTCTATCATGAAGCCTTAATTTTCTTGTTAAATGCATCACAAAGACTTTTCCTTCAATATTTCTTCATCATTATGCGAACTTTAGATCAACTACAGAAATCTCAAGAAACAGTACGATGAAGTAGTTGCTACTGCACAAAGAAATCAGGTTTTTATTCAATTTTTTAAATTTTATATAGTAGTGTTTATCGTTACATATATTCTACACGCTTTTCATAATTGACATAAGGAAAAACATTTTGATTGGTGAATTTGGAGATGGTATGAGAAAAGGTAATCAATTTACATTATAAATGATGGAAAGATGGAATTGTTTTAGTAAATTGCAGAATTTGATTGAAGAGGCAAATAACTATCGTGACACTTGTAAGACTGCTGTAGACAATTTGGTGGCTGAGCAAAAAGCACGCCAAGAACTTCTATCAAAATATTTAAAAAGCGTGGATGCTGCCACGGCATGTATTTTAGTACATTTTTGAGAAAAATAATTGCTATAAATCTTCATATCATCTAACATTTCATAATTGAATAGGAAAGCCTCGAAGTTTGTGTTCAGTTCTTCATTTTAAAGTACCAAATATTCAAGTTTTTGTAGTCTATATCTTTTTCCACGTCTAAAAGTTTTGGAAAAAATCTCCCAAGATATTTACTACTTCAAATTACAAACCACAGCCAATTGGCACGTGATGAGCTGAAGATGTGGTAGAATATTGTGGCGTTATCGATAAAAATTGCATCGAAATCTATCCGTAAAAGTACTATAAAATAATAAATGATGATTTGTCGAATGCTTGGATCTATTGTTTAAAATTAGATCATGTTTTTGCAGAAACTCAGTGACTCATTGAAACAAGAGGAAAAAAAGTGTTTGCAGTTGCGGACAATAAATGAAAAGCTAGAACCTTTCAAGAGTATCACTCCAGGAATGCAACGTCTCCTTATTGACTTCGGTAAACTTTTTTTTTGTAGTTGGATGTATGTGGGTTAAGGCATTAGTTGAGATGATAAATTTGTAAATGGAATCATGAATTTTCTTTGACGGGTCTCACAAGTTGTAATTTAATAGAAATATCAGTTTGTCCATTACATGATTATCCTTCTCACTTATAGTGATAGCATTAACCTATAAGTTTGGAGAAACTTTCTGTTTCCTACAAATGGCTTTGTCTTGAATGGTATTTATCTAATTTTGAATATATAACGATTTGTTTTCGAACTCATCTGAAACACCGTCAGTTATCTGTTAAGCAAATTCGACAAACACCGCAAATTATATATTTGCAGCAGAAATTATTGAACGAAATGGTTTAATGACAAAGCCTTTACAAAAACGTTTTGCAAAATACCGTAGTAATTTGCATGGAAATACGCTGCTAAACATGGATAGAGTTAAAAATAACAGTGAATCGAGCTTAAAAACTGCTGAAGATAGCAGCGATGATGGTATGATTACTCGTTCTTGAAGTAGATTGAAAAATTTCTAAATATATTTCAAAATATTAAAATTTATCACCGATCCTCTCTATGAGTTTAGTATTCATTCTCTGGTAATTAAATAATATTTTTTTGGCAACTGAATGGAAAACTATCTGTTTCTAAATTTCAAGGAACTTGATACTGTTTAAAATATCCGAATTTACTACGCAATATTTTTCAGATGAACTAGCGAAGGATCTTGAAGATATGTTAGCCGTTGATAGTGTACCTTCTATAAAATCAGCAGGGAAGTTAGACTCATCGAGCCGTAAAATCGAAAGGGATGAAATAAGGGAAAGTAAAAATATTTCGGATGTGGCAAAAAAAATGAACAAGTCAAAGATTCCTGAAACGTCTGGTAATTGTATAACTACGAGAAAAAATTCTTCTATAATATTTTTCAAAATGCATTCCTGTTCAGTAGCTTATATCAGAATCTTAATGTCTTCATGATTAGTAAAACAAATAATTATTTCTTTTTAGAAAATGTTTTAAGAAAAAAATCAGAAGACCGGAAAACTCTTTTATTGCCTACTTCTGCTAAAGAATCAAAAACGTAAGTTGCAGTGTTGGTTTATATCGAGCGCATAATTTCTGATAACAACATTTTATAAAAAAGCAAAAAAATTTGTAAACGAAGTTTTCATGGTGGTATTCATATTAGTATAATCTCTTTAATTTAGTATGCAAAATTATAATTTTTTTTAAAAATTTGTTACTGTATTGAATTTGAAGAGAGAAATTTAATTTAAATCTCAGTTGATATCAGATTAACCCATACTAGAGAGTTATTTTTGAAATTGTACTTTTGTAATCGTATCTAAAGCATTTATTGACTGAGAAAGCTTTGCTTTTTCAGCAGTGGAATCAAATTTATGATGCTTGTTTTATTCATAAAGTATATTATGATATATGAGTGTTTGTTCGTTAATTATTATTTAATATACTATCATAATAAATATTTTAGATTATTATATTTTGGAAATACAAAAACGTTGCGTGGTGAACAAACTGAACCGAGTAAGAAACGAACAAAAAAAAAATTACAAAACACTTCTGGAAAAGAGAAAGGTAATTTTAACGGTTTCTTCAAATTCCTGTGTGCTTGGAAAATAAAATGGAAAGCTGCGAAATGAGCTATTTGGTTGTAAGAATTTTGTGACTTTAAGGATATGCAAGATATGGAGTTGATAATTCTCCAGCGACGAACGAAATTATAGATTTGCAACTTTACAAATCTTCTAATTTTGTTTCTTGGATTATAACTTATTCAATTTATTCGTTAAGCTATTTTAGACAACGATGTGAAGGGATGTAATATTCCATCCACATCGTCTATGGATGCGAGGTTTCCATTTTTTGTAAGTACGTCATCTTATTTTGTCATGACATGTTTATTGTTCGATTTTGAAAAAGCATTGTTTTTTGAGGAAATAATCTTTAAAAAACTATCAAACGTAGCAAATTATTGTTTTAAAAAAGAAAAAAAACGACAGCTCATAATAATGTTGGCTGCAGTATTGATAGAAATATTAAACTTCAGCTTGGAACTGCATGTGCTTCTAAACATTTTCATATTTTTGCTAAACGTTTTTGATTATTAGGATTCAATAATTTCTATGTCTAGAATCCAGGTTCTTCAAAATTTTTGGTAACATTAATTTCAAGCGCATTTTTAATAAATTCTAGAACTAAAATTTTCGAATTAAGCGTCCACAAAGTTGGTGCTATTACGTTTTGATAACTTCAAAGTTATTAGTAGTTCTCTAATAATTTGAGGAACGAGATGAAAGTGGTGAAAAGGAGGTGGTTTGTAAGTGCGAGAAAAACCTTTCAACTTGGCTCAATTTTATTCAGTTAGACCCTCTTCTTCCTCAAGAGATTAACCGACCAACAGCCATGGATATTAAATTATCCGAAGTATATTTTTGCGTACAATGCAAATACATGAAGTTTTCAACAAAGATTTCATAAACTACAAAAATAGATAATTTTTAGTTTGAATTTTCCAGAAAAGTTTCATTTTCTACTGCAATTTGTAATTTCTTATTTTTAATCCATTTCTTTCCAGTCGATAGAGCAACAGGACGATTATATGGATAGATTATTTGGTGGCCCATTATCACCAAGTACATCAAGTAGACGGACATCATTGAGCTCAACAGGAAGTATTGTGATTCCGAAGAAACGGGCGAGAGCAGATTCTGAAACGAGCTCTATAAGTAGCAGTGAATTCGGCGTAATTACTGATTCTTCACCGCTAGTTATAGAAAGTCCTGTGAAAGATTTAAAGCAAGTTAATTGCGTACCCTTGTCAGAATCATTTACAAATGCTGATTCAGGACCTGTTACAAAGAGTTCTTCGGGAGAAACTATCACTGTAATCATAGATGAAGATGAAGTGAGTTGTTATGGATAAGTTAATACTTTTAGGATAATGATAAGAAGTTTCATATTAGCAAACTTTTAAAATTATAGTAGAATAGATATTACTAGAAGTAATGCAGCGAAGTACTATTACAATTTGGAGTTGATTCGTGCTAAGAATTTTCATCATTTTGGTGCAAATATTTCATGAAGTTCTTCATTATTTGGAGTCAAGTATGGTTTTTAGATCACTGAAAAAATGGACGTGGAAGATACTTGTACATCTGTTAATGTTTTATTGCAAGAAGCAGATGAGTCGTGTATTCAGTCATCATCAGAAGGCCAAATCAGCCTACTGGATGTTACGTCCCCTCTTCATCATAATGTATGTTTATTGACAGATTAGTTTTGCGAAATGATCTTCGTGTCTATTTTTTTTTCAGATTCTATACAAAATTATTGTATTGATTGATTTATTTTGGTATATTTTGCAGATTAATCAGTCAATTCAAATTTCGGAAGTAGTAAATCACAATGAAGAACTAAGGTTAGGATGCAAAGAGAGAGTAAAAGAGGTGCCAGATTGCGCTGATTCTAAACTTTCCTTGTCAGTAAATTCACAGTCAAAATGTAGTACATCCAATTCGTTGCGAGCTGCTGGCAAAAGTCTAGGAGCTATGCATAGTCTGATTACGTATCAAAAAAGTGATATAGTGAAGATATGTGATGTTAGTTGTGAAGCGAAAAGCCCAAATTCCATTGTATTGCCCTCGGAAAATCTAGAGACAGTTTTGGAAGAAAAATTAAGTGAAGGTGATTCACAACTGGAGAAGCTTCCCCGACCACAAAAGAAACCAGTAAGCAGTTCAGGAGTGTTCAATGAGAAAACATCCGAGTTAGAAGGTTTTCAGGAAGGAGATTCTGGGAACTGCACTGGAGATTCAATTCTGAAAAAGCGGTTGCATTGTGAGAGTGAGAAGCGGCATGTAAGAATTAAATCTTGTTCTTCAGAGGACAGTCTAGGGCTGGTGATTGATGGTGAAGTTTCTGAATCTGTTAACGTTGATAACGTTCCAAGTGATTGCTGTCTGAAGAGAAAGCTGGTTGACATTGATGGGTCTACTGATGTTCTGAATAATTGCTCAGCAGGGATTGCTGAGGAGACGAACGAGATTTTACAGAGCGAATTTTCATATAACAAGGCAAGAGAAGACGATAATAAAAAGGCATGTGAAGATGAGCATCTGAATTTATCAGGTTTTCAAAAGTCTGGTGAGAGGAGAAAATCGAATGATATCCTACTGAAGTCTATGAATTGTCTGGGGTATGAAGTGGGATCAGCTTTGCAGATAAAGACTTTAAGTGATGACAAGAATGAACAGGAGTTAGTAACTGTGACGAATAGACAGAAAGATGAAAGAAACTCTGAAAGTGGATCGAGAAATGTAGTTGATAGTGACATTCCATCAAGAGATCTACAGAACAATGGAACTGGTATTTGTAGAGCGACTAAGCAAATAAGTTTGAGGAGTAATACGCGAAGGCAGAAACTTGATAATGCTACTAAGAATATGCAAGGAATCAAAACTGTTGAAAAGCTGTCAAAACTCAGTGCAGTAGAAGTCTGCAAGGGAAAAAAATCAACGGTGGGAGTTTATTTATCGTTAAATGCAGTTAAAGTAGCAATTATTTGTTTTTATTTATGAAGCGATTTTAAAATTTTGAATTTTTTCCATTAAAATTTTAGAAAAAATTTCAGAGCAAGAACAGTGGAAAATCCAGCACTAACGATAACAATCTATCTCACGGTTAATTTAAGATATTTGTTTCTTATAATATTCGGTTTTTGTTACGTATCAGATAACTCAAAAGTGGTTTATAGAAAATTTTTCTTAACTGTGGAATCCAACAACTATTAATCAAGAGAAATGAAAAATCAGATATTTGTTTCTTGCAATATTCATTTTCTTTTCAAAAAACAGTTTTAAAAAAAATAGCCTTTGCAGTGATTCAACTAAATTTTTGTTCAAAAGTAATTAAGTGTTCGTTTATATTCATTTGCAGAGATTAAATCCTTCAGCAATAATGTTAATGGTAATGGTCCTTCACATGTTGAAGTAATTAATGAAGCCTCGACATCTTCAGCTCATGGTAATGTTATTTCAACTATCAAATTTATTTTTTAAGAGATGAATATAATAAACTTATTTTAATTATTCTGATATAATAACACGAAGTCAGTAACGTTCTAGATGGGAATGCTCCGAAAAATTGCAATTTTTCAAGAATGACAACAAGGATGGCAACAGTTTCAGCAAAGGTTTGCATCCATTTAATAC